TTAATTTAAAATGTACACGGTGATTCACTAACTATAAGTATTAGAAACAAGCTATCAAAAAAAAAAACAAATTTTAAAGAGTTAAATCTATATGATTGACTAACATTTAGATGTGACTAAGTGTCTGTTACAAATGACATTTTTTTATAGAGCTCATACAAAAAGTAATAACTTCCTAACCATTTCAGATGAGAAATTCCATATTCGTGGACTTTCCGGCTGCTTTGGATAATCACCATTGATGGAACACATGTAAACTTTTGTTAACGCTTGCTATTAAGTGGACCGAACAATTGAAAATAATTTTTTGCCGGAAATAAATGATAAAAACTGGATTATTCCGCTTTTCAGAACAAATTTTAAATTTCGCCAGAAAAACGTTATAGCTATATTACGAAGGGGGTAAAATTTTTGTTGACCTAAAATTTTATCTAAAATGGGTTCAGTTCCTACTTGGTCCTAATGGAAAGTAGATCGGTAACCTACTGTAAATATCAGCGAACATAAAAAACGGCTCTACGAGTTTTCCGCAACCGGCAACTGGTCTTAAACTATTGTCCTAATATCCTGACACCCTTCCGCAAATGTTTGATTAATAATATACTCTCTTTTAATTAGTTCCCAAAACAATCCATATTCGTGGACTTTGCTGCTACAAAGAAATTTTTTTGTTTCCACATTTCACTGCCTGATGAAATAATCCCAAGTAAAATGTGTAAACAAAAATATTTCTTTGCAAGGTTAAATAGACCCTTTGTAAAAATATGATCTGTAATCACCAAGTACGGATCCTAGTACCAAATCCCTGAGACTAAAAACACTGCGAGTTCAAGATCACTCACATTGAGTGGTAAAGATCAAAGGCACCGCCAAGTGTCTAGAATCACGTGTTAAACATCATTGATATCAGGTTGTTCGAATGAATGTTTTGTAGATAAGATTTTCTTGTTTCTTGGTTGATATTTTTTTATACCTACTTTCACTATTTTGTTGCTGTGTTACTGACAGCTCTAATCTTGACTTAATGTTTGGCGATAATTATAAAGGGGACAATAAAGTTGTTCTTCCTTTAAGTGCGGGCAGAAGATACGAGGAAATTGTTTAACACGTATTTCATTAGTAAGTGCAGTTTTATTAATGGTGCCTGGTATGTTAATTGCCTATATTTGTTGCTAAAATTAACTAAAAAATAAAAAGGAAACGAGTAATTTAGAATTTATTTTTATTTCAATGAAAGTTTCAAGTACAGTTTGAACAATTGTTTCTAAAACAATGACTCATACTCATAATATGGATTGGACAACACTAACAATTTCGCTTTGTATTTATCCAAAGGTATTAAAATCTATTGGCTGTATAGAACATTTTCCATTTCGGCAGTTAACAAGCAGTTATTTGTGTTAATCATAGATTTCTCTCGTTCCAATTTTTTATGGTCGATGTCTTTTTCACTTAAAGAATTCTGTTGGCTATTTCATTTTTGTTACTTAAACTGTCAGCAACATAACTTTCTGCAATTGTGGCTGATTTCCACTCACCATGTCTCTTGATTCCTGATACATCAACTCCTGTATTAGCCAATAATGTTGCCGATGTTCTTCGGAATGAGTGGCTTGTATATGTTTCAGGATGTTCTAGTTTAAAAAACTGTGCAATCTTATTAGGAATCATAGAAAGTGTATTCTTTCCGACTGGTTGGTTGTAACATCTACCTGTTTGGATAGCGCATAAAAAAGCGTGAAATTTCAGTTTTAATTTCCAATCTAATCTTGATACAATTCTTGAGAATTTCTAGGTGAGAAACAGAACCCAGACGAGAAGTAATTGCTAAGGTACGTGACATACCATTTTTAGAATTTGGAATTGGAACTACAGTGTCATCGAAATGATTGAAAATGACCTTGTCCAAAGTAAGTTTACATAACTCATCAGAACGGTATGTTCCTCCAATACCTAAGACCGTCACTATCTTCATTGGCAAATATGTGTTATCGGGTGCCTGAACGAGAAAATCGTTGACTTGTTCTCTTGTAAAAACATTTGACTTTTTAGGTGTATAGTCGTCATTCTTACGTTTCAAAAATACTCTCAGCTTGGACTATTTTGAAATATCCACGTTCTCCCCTATGAAAATAGTTGACTTAAATCATTGAATATTCACTCCACAAACTTGCCGGTGACTTTAAAGTTCTTGACTTCTCCATGAAATATGCTAGCAGTGACATTTCAGAAACACCAGTATTTCTGTTCTCGCACCATTCTTTGAAATTTCTATATGCTTGCTCGTAGCGCACTTTCGACGGCATTTGCTGCACTTTGTATTGAAAAATCACTCATTTAGAAATAATAATTCAAAACCAGCAAAAATTAAAACTTTTATGTATGCAGGTACCTTAGAAACGACAAATACCAAACAACCAAAGCGACTTTCCAAGATTTCAAATAATGTCAAAATGAATTGAGTAAGAATTGTCAAAAAATAAAACCTAATCTTTATTTCATGAACCATAAAGAACTGTGAGAGCAGATAAAATGTTATACCACGCAGCAGTTAAGTATAATTTACCAGTCTCGGACTCTATTGAAAGCCCTCGTTCAGCTCGGGCGCAAAATCGTCCTCGAATGGTAAAAAAGGAGCTTTCATGGGCGAAAATAAATCGATTTAGATCAACAAGTACAATTTTTGTTAAGTTAAGTTAAAGAATTACGGAACTCCAAAGAATTTTTTTATATCATATGTTTAAGATAACTCTTAACTTGTAAAGAAATTTGAATGAAAATTGTTATGGAGAAACTTTCTAAGTAACCGAATATTAATAAAGGCTTATTATTTGCTAAAAATATAAAGGTGACGTAAGAACATTTTAAGCAGCTATTCGTTTTTTTGATGAATTTGTTTTTGTTAGCAGAAATTTTGAGAAAACTGTTTTCTGAAACGTGAAACTTAAAAAAGCATGACGCTAGTACATTGTAATGTTACATTTTTTTGGGCTTAGCGTGCAAAAGTCAGAGCACGCAATTTTATTTTTTAGATGTCAAGAGGGGGTTAGTGTAAAGTTAAATCCATGTTTGTGGGGTCGCAACCCTTGTGCATCGGCCGCCATCTTGTAAAAGGGCTGCGAATGGTTTTTATACTACTACTTACTATATCGGGCAAACTATTCGTCGCACAGAAAATTTGTAAATACATTTTTTGTTGCAAAATAAATTCTCAACAAATTTGATACCGTAATTTTTAATCGTAGAACCAAAAATAACAAAGTTATTAACGAAAATAGAAAAAAATTTGGGAACAAATTTCCTTTTGGTCGTTATAACTTTTTTCTGGTCATTTTATAAAAAAATTACATCAGAGCAAGGGGTTTTCAAGGAATAATTTCCATTACAAACTTTTTTCCAATTTCCACAGTTTCCTTTGCATCGGCAGAATATCAACTTTAGAAGCTCAGGGGGGTGCTGGAGGTTTTGAACTTTGAACAAGCATCAATATTTATCCATACTTTTTCCAGACCCAGTCTTGAGGGTCGCTGTAATTCCCGAGCCATGACTTAACCTGATGATAGACTGTGTCTTGTGTTGGAGGAAGTGAAGACAAATTAAATGTATTCTTTGTCAGTGACTTGGCGAATTGTTTATATCTAAGACTGTCAAGAGAATCATCATTTTTATTGCCACCATATAGAGATGAAAAAACATTCGCCAGCGGCAGTGAGCAAAGTAGGGTCGACTCTCTCATTGAGGAATAACGCTGTTCCACTAGCTAACTCCCGACGTGTTTCCAGAGTTGTGAGAAATTTAATTTTACCGATGTTGTGTGTGTGTCACATCCTGAGAAGGCATGGAGAAACAACAGATTATCCACAATGACGTCTCCGTACATAAAACTTGACGGACAATATAATTGTTCGGCTGTACGTCCTTTTGATGGTTTAAAAAAATACATTTGAATGTGCTCTTCCAAATGCCGTGAGCACAAGAATGTCGATATCTTCGGCGACAATAGTGACTGAGTCGAACGATTGGGATGCAGCAAGAGCGGAGCGATCTGCATCTGATTCTGCTTGGTCGACACTGAAACCCACCTCTTGTCCACAAAATTCAAAATAGTGTCCACAAAACTCAAAATACTTTTCACAATTAAATATGTCACGCACGCACGTGGTAGCATAACTGGAAGAAAACTTTGAAGGACACCTCCTATGCCTAATCATTCATATTAATGTATACTTACTAGTACTGGAGAATAGTGTAAGTTTCGCATCGCTGTAAAACCCTAATAAATAAATAAAATTTGAAAAAATTTGCAAAGGAAATTATTCCTTGAAAACCCCTCTATCAAAATGCTCTGAAGTATTTTTTTTGTAAAATGACCAGAAAAAAGTTATAACGACCAAAAGAAAATTTGTTCCCAAATTTTTATCTATTTTCGTTAATAACTTTGTTATTTTTGATTCTACGACTAAAAGTTACGGAATCAAATTTGTTGAGAATTTAATTTGCAACAAAAATGTATTTACAAATTTTCTGTGCGACGAATAGTTTGCCCGATATAGTAAGTAGTAGTATAAAAACCATTCACAGCCCCTTTTTACAAGATGGCGGCCGACGCACAAGGGTTGCGACCACACAAACATGGATTTAACTTTACACTAACCCCTTCTTGATATCCAAAAAATAAAATTGCGTGCTCTGACTTTTGCAACCCCAAATGTAACTTTTCAATTGACTACGAGAGAAACATGGATTTCATTTTTTGGAATGCACAAAAATAACTTCAGTTTCTTGTTCGAACCCCCCCCCCCCCCCCCGGGGGGGGGGGGGGTGACAAAATGTAAAGAGAATTCGAGCATTTTCCGCTACAGTAAATGATTACCAAGTCGTCAAGGACTCCAGCCAAAAGAGATCCTCTCCTGTTAGCTACCATCAGCGTCTAGTCCCCCGCGGCCGCCCGGCATCCCCCCCCAGTGCGCCTATGTGCTCAACACAGATCCGGTGGACCAGCCTCGCCATCGCAGGCAGCAATTGCCGATAGCGCACAAGATTGACGAGTCGGTTCGCGGGCCAGTTCTGCGATTGCGAGCGTTTGTGGCACTGCCGCGTCGTGTCCCACTGTTCACAGTTCGGTTGGTGCTCTGTTGCTGCTTCCCGCCGGATATTCGTCTGCCTGCCTGGGACTACGTTGCTACCTGTTGAGCTGTAAGTGTTGATCCGGTTTATGCATGTGATCGGTTTTGTCCCTCGACGTTCGCTCTGGCCCGATTGGGCGAAGGGCTACTTTGTCGATTGATCTGCTGTCGCAGAATCGGCAGTAGACAGTAATTATGATGATGCATTTATTTATTAACATGCATAGAGTGTGTGGTTTGTCATTACTCATTTTTTATTTTGGTTTGCAATCATAGAACCCTGTTTCCGTCTTCATTATTGTACTGTCATTTGATTTCAGATCAGTGGATCTTCTGTTCCATTAATTCGTTAATTTATCACCAAAAATACCAGTTTCCATACTCAGATCATTTATGGTGTACCATTTTTTGCTTGCTGCACTAAATGTTTAACTCAAAAAATGTAATTTATCTTTGCATTACCAATTTGGTGTTTTGCGAACAGACTCATTCGATTGTGCGCCTGCTTGAATCGCTGTATCATAGCAACGATGAGTCCTGTTTATATGGAGAGGATGATCTGAAAAATCAGAGGCGTTTATATGCAAAGTTGGGTAAATCCGTATAAAGAAATGAGGAAATCGTAAAAAACTGTCAGTGGCAGAAGAAACAGCGTAACAACCCAAACTTTCCTGTATAGTTTTGGTTAATAAATTATAAATGTATACAGGGTGTTTTTAAATGAAGTAGCAAAAATGGTACCAGTGAATGTAGAGCCAAAAATAAGAGGATTGAAGTAAAAATACCTTATATGAAAGTTGCACCCTTGAGGCGATATACCCTCTTAAAGGAGGGGATTGAAATTCACATTTTAATGTTTTTCTTTAACATGAGGAATGCTAGAGACACGAAACTTAGTATAAGCATCCTACTAACAAAGAGACAACTTTTCAATGTTTGTTCGATCATTGGCGTATTTTATAAAGGAGTGAAACAGTCAACCCCATTGCAATATTACATTAGAAATTTTTTATATGAGGCAAATTATTTATTTTAAAATATTTATTAGGAAGACTGATTTATTGCGCAACTTTTTTCCCTCTTGTAATTTTTCGATAAAACCGATAGTTTTCTCGTAAAAAAATTAGATGCGTCATCGTTCACTAAAGGGGTAATTGCGAAAATTTGTAAAAATAAAGTAGACGGATGTCAACAAATAAATTGTTATTTATCATATTAATAAATTGCCACTTTCTGTCAATAAGTTGGTAATTTAATAATAACATTAAGAATTATTTGCTATTAATTAATGAAAAATGATTGATAACTTATGACCATGGGGCATGTATTAGGTAAAGTTATTTATCTGAAATAAAATTTAATACAAACGAAAAACAAGAAATGCAAAATTAAATTTAAAGAATATTTTCGAAATTATTTCTATTTTGCTGCAACCTAATACGTCTGTTGAAGTTATAACGCACTCGCACAAACAGTTCTTGGTTATTGCGAAGGTCATCTGCTCCCTGAAATATTCTTAAGCGTAGTTCTTCTAAGGAGGCAATAGGAGAGGCATAAACAATATTTTTTATATGTCCCCACAAAAAGAAATCCATAGGCATTAGGTCAGGTGAACGTGCAGGACAACAAACAGGGGCATCACGACCACGACCAATCCAGCGATTCGGGTAATTTAAATTTAACCATTCTCTAACGGCAAATATACTATGTGCAGGCGCCTCATCGTGCATATACCACATCACCTGACGTGTAGCGAGGGGTACATCCTCAAGTAATGTTGGAAGATTTTCGTTCAAAAAGATACTCGGCCGCTCCAAGCCTGTGTGGAAGAATAAAAGGCATACTAGAATATTTCCTACAATTCCCATCCAAACGTTTAAACCGAAAATATGTTGACATCTTGAAACAAATATTTCATGAGTAATTTCTTCCGACCATGAATGAACATTATGAAGGTTTACTGCACCTACTCTAGGAAAATTTGCTTCATCGGTGAAAAGTATATTCATTAGGAAATTTAAGTCATGTCTGGAAATATTAATGTACCATTGACGCGGTTAGGTAAATGAGGATCATTCAATTCTTGCACGGATTGATGGCGAAAAGGGTATAAAATAATTTTATGGGCTACATTTTACACAAGACTTGCAGTTGCCTGGATACCTGTCTTGTAATTGTACCACAGGCTTGTTCTAGATGTTCCAGTATAGCTTCCTCAGTTTCAACAGTTCAGACATTACGCCTTCTTCCGGCGCCCTCACGATTATGCTGAATTTTTCCAATTTCGCGAAGCCTTCTTTCCACCGAGGCCAATGTTTGTCTTTGAGGAATCGGTCGGTTTGGATATCTTTGGTGGTATAATCTTACTGCAGCGTTACTATTTTTTCTGGATTCGAAAAACACGTGGAGCATGTCGACATATTCGTCATTGGTATAAATATTATTTGCTATAATTATTCTGATAATAAATTAATCAATTGGTACTAATTATTGGTTGACAGAAAGTGTACAAGACAATTTATTAATATGATAAATAACAATTTATTTGTTATGACATCCGCCTACTTTATTTTTATAAATTTTCACAATTACCCCTTTAGTGAACGATGACGCATCTAATATTTTTACTAGAAAACTATCGATTTTATCGAAAAATTTATCGAAAAATGTTGCGCAATAAATCGGTCTTCTCAGTAACTATTTTTAAATACTATAAAGTACGTCTGTAGCGAAAGTTTTGAGGTTTTTGTACAATAAGAATAGTAAATAAGAATAAAGATTTTGCGTTTAATTGGACGAAACTGTTTCTGTCACAGGTTTCAAAGATTTACTTAATCAAAAACAAAATTCTTACTACTATTTTTATTCTTATGGAAACTACATAAAATCTACCTAATATCTCATAAATATATTAATAATATAATATTTATTATGCATTTTTATATAAATACTTAGTCCTTCTAGGTATTTGTATAATATTTACAAAAAATCAACAATGGAAAATACAAGTTTATAGTGTTTCTATAGGGTACAAACGTACTTATTTATTACATACCTAAATTGTTCAGGGTAGTTTTGTTGCTTTCAGAATAAGCCATATTTCAAATAAATGATATTAAAAAAAACAAATCAAAGTAGAGACTAATAGAATAACAAAATTCGGTATCTTAACGTACTTAATCGAAACTTAAAGGCAACTAAAACCCGACTATCCGACTGACTGATAACACACGCAAGCATGCGGCATCGGTTTCCCATGCGATGACGTCACATCCCCCGGTTCAGCGCCAGTTTATGATTTTTTTTGGATGACTTGTACGCGATATAAAATTCTAATTTTTTGTTGAGAACCTTAAAATTGCAATATCTTCCTGCTAATCAAATAAAAAAAATTTGCTGAATTATGTGTTTTTGTATTAATTATATTTAGATATATCATTTTTAGTTTTTAATTTGGATAATTATTTATTAATAGATGTTTACTGGTTATTGTTGGTATAGTTCAATTCAATACTAGTTAGAGCATGTAGTCCATGGAGTGATTGTCATTCTGGATGTTGCGGAAAACCCCAACATCTTGAAAGAAATAGCAAGAAAACAATACCGTTTTAAATGTTACAATACCAAGCAGGAAAAAATCAATAAAATTTTATCATCTTCCGGAAGTCCTGATCTGAATTAAATGAATTTTATTAAGCTAAGCAGTTCCTGATATCATTACGACAATTATGAATATGTCTATGCTGCCTAAGTGATATGAAATATGGTAATTATTATTTTTTTCAAAACAACAAAATAGATGTGATCTTCTTCATGATGTAATATTATGTAAAACCGTCTATTTATAGATTTTGTTTGATTTTGTCTGGTGTTTATCTTAGTATTTTCTGTGATTTGTTCGTGGTTTATCTATTTTATTTGCCATAAAATATGTTTCTTAATTATGAACAAAAAAATATACCAAGTGGAACCGTATATAGAAACAAATACTTCATGTATGTATACCTCTACAGAACTTGGCCAATGAAATCACTGTTTCATAACTAAAGAATTACAGACTACTAGTACACCAAATCTTCCTTACACACGCCATTACCATTGGACTAGTATTCAATAGATCAATCGTAGTTTTCAACGCTAGTCTTTTAATATTGGAACAATTTGGTACTGAACCTCGAGGATATAAATGTTGCATTTAGTTAGGCACATTTATGTAGTTAAAATTTAAAATGTATATTACATCTTAAATAAAAATGTTTTCATTTCAGCATCCGGAGCATAATTGGCATGACGTACGCGTAACTCGCTATTAAAAAAAGTAATGAGAAACTTGCATTTTATTGCTGCAAATGTTATGTGGCTGACAACATAATTTGTAGCGTCAACATCAAAACTTTTACGTTTGAAATTTTTATCTGCAACAAATTTATTCTTTTCCGTCAATAACTAATGTTTGAGACAGCTCAAATTTCTGAAACGTATTCTTAGTAGAGGAAAAAATATATGTTGCAACAGAGAACAAACCTTTTTTTTCAATATCAAGTTTTCAGAACTCTGAAGATTAAGATTAACATGATATGTCTATTGTATTCATTTATACTTCACCTTGAACATAAAATGTAATAATATTTACATCAGCTATGCAAGAATTTATATAAGATAAAAAGTTTCTTTTAATTCTTATAGAATATTGAAATTTACACCTCTGTTATTCGTCATGACTTAACTTTATTACTAGCTGATAGTGCGATGGTTATTTAGATTGTTTATCAATTAACCTAGTTTGCATTAAAATAGTTGATATAATAGTACTTGCCGTGATTTTAATGATTTCACAGCCCGCGCTGATATTTATTTCTGATTTATACGTTTTAGCGGGTTGTTGTTCTCGGGCTGGTCTCTGTGGGGGCGGACCCATTACCAGCCTGGTCTGAGTAAGTCTCAATCAAGCTTTTTTGAGTCATTACCGAAGATGCCGACAGTGAAGAACGGCGAAACGTTTGAAAGCCTTGTCTGGGATACAGGGTGTTGAAGTTGAAAAAATAAATAACATTTTCTTTAATATCCTTC